AGTTAATAAAAGCCTTTTTCAACAATGGCTTTCTCTTTGCCACTCTCCTATAGGGCTTTGCAGAAAACAAAACAGCTGTTGAATGCAAAATCTCTCCCATCTCAGCTGTTGAAGCTTGTAACTCCTTCAGAGGAGTCAGAGGTGTGTTGATGGCCTCCCTCAGTAGTTCCTTTCTTTCACAGTCACTCAGTTTTTTAAGACGTCCGCTCCAGTCAGACTTACTCTTGTGCCATATTCTTTAATTTCTTAACGATGGATTTAATGGACTTCAAGGAATATTTAGTGACTTGAAAATGTTCTTAAATTATCCTCTGACTTATCTTTTCAATAACATTTTCACCGGTGCTTCTTTTGTCTTCCTGATGTAGTTATAACCAAAGACTGGACCTTCCACATTCAGGTGTCTTTATACTACAATCCCTGAGACACTAACTGTGTGACTTCGAGCTGCACCGCTGTTGAATTAGCTGAATTATCTTTAATGGAGGTAAATACTTATGCAATCAATTACTTTACATTTATCATTAAATGACATTGTCGAAATCAGTTTTCCCTTTGACATGAAAGCGTCTTTTTTTTGTCAGTGAAATTAACTATGATTCAATGTGGGAAAGCAATGAAAGGGGAAAACCTTCTGCTGATTCCTCGACATGAACTCTAAATGCTAATTACATGTATACAGTTGAGCCATAAACCCCTCCTCCTGCACCTACATAATTTCCTATGGAGTCTCTTAATATCAGCAGAAGGAGGATGACTGTCGGCACAAATCAGCTAAAACCGTTCACCGCGAGAGACCTGCACTTTAGCAGAGTGGTTTCAGGTGAGGATGCAGTCAGCAGCGAGTCCTCAGTTCGATTCCCAGTCCAATGGACCTTTATTGCGTGCCTCCCCTGCTCTCTTTCCCCACATTTCCTGTCTGTCTTTAACCAAAATGCCAAAAAAATTATCTGAACAAAAAAAAAAAACCCAAAAAAACAAAAGACCTGCACTTTTCTAAACCGTGAAGTTCAAGGAGCTTCCGATAACCATTAATTAGTCCAAGAAGCCTGTATATGAAGTTATTCAAAAGGTCTTTGCAGCCGTCAATAAGCCGATAACATCTGGTGCTAATTAGTTTCGTATTAACGCAAATAAAGTTGTCACAAACAGGCTCGTAATAAATTCATGCTTTCTTTGTACTCAGGTTGTCGAAGGCTAGAAAATCACTATCAGTCCTGAAATTACACCTCCTACACGCCGTAGTGCTGCTCTGTAATCGTCTGCATGACCTCGGTTGTGTAAAATTGGTGGAGTTCCCCCGTGGCTCAGGTGCTGCAGCCGGTTGTCAGCTAATCACAGGGCGGGAGACCTTGCATGTACATTTTTTTTTCACATTGGTGTGTGAGAGAGGCACAAAAGTAGTAATGACCTTTCTCAGCTAACTTAAGAAGAAATGCTATATACAGGTTGTTTTTTTTTTTTAACCATTTGATGAGGTCTGGGTTACTTTCAGGGTAACATCACTACCTTTGCTTTTAAACTCTAATCTTGTACCTTGTTCTTTTTTTCCAGATCAGTCTAAGCTATCCAGATCTCAAATCATTTGATAGAAGAATACTTGCAGATTTGTTGTTATCCCTTACATGCAAACAAAAAAAGAAGGTATTTTGAAAGCTATAACATTCATCTCGTCATTAATTGCTGGCAGTAGAGATGTTTTTTTCATATTTACTTCAGAACCATGATGGTGGAAAAATGTGAGACTTTGAAATTGGGGGAAACTTGCCGATGAGTTCGCATACAGTTGCACACTAGCAGAGATGGCAAACCAAGCAAATGTTCAAAATAACACACAGACAAGCAACTAGAATTATTGGAAAGGTCATTTTGTGACCAGTTTTGTTGCTTGAGGTTTCATTAACTCCAGCATAACAGACGCTTTTGTTCATCAAATGGTCAGAATTAACAGGAAAAGATTTTCTGTCAAGTATCGCAGCACAGACTCATTGCCTTGACTGTGCGACCTTACTATTGTACAGTCACCCAACAATGGTCCATTCAGAGCTGACAAAAACCAAAACACCACACAAAAAGGCAATCTCCACAACTACAACACCACAAAACATCTCTTAGGATCAACGAGTACGTTAACGAGCCACTCTGAAGCGAAGAAAAAGACGAAACCAAACGGGCTGTTACCTCCTCTTGGCGGTGGCGCTGCCGTCCTGCTCGGCCCTCCTCCACAGGTAAACCAGCAGCCTGTGTTTGAGGGAGTTGATGGTTTTGTCGGTGTACAGACGGGGGAAGCCGGGTTGACTCTCAGCCTGAGCTTCTGTATAAACGGCCGAAAGAGTCAACAGGTCGTCCTCGTAACAGAAGCGACCGATAGTCCGTACGTCCAGAAACGTCCCATCTGGAGTCACCTGAAAGAGACGTGAAGGAAAATAAAAATGAAGACGACACAAAAATAAAACGGGCAGGTTGCAGTTTTTATACATATGCAAATAGCAATTTTCAAACATTACTGGGTCGCACCAATCTCACCATCTTACAGTTCCTCTCCTCATCTGAGCATTACTAAAACTAAAACACAGCACAGAGCCGTCAACAATCCATCCATTGACACTTTTTTGTATGTTAAATATCCATATTATTAATATCTCAGACTGGCATGTCACCAGAAAGGCAACTCGCTCGTTAAACAACACAGATTTATCCATTAAAACCCAAGTCAACCTCAGCACACTGTGGACGTCTGCATATGAGGCCTCATCACACATCTGAGGGCATCCAGTGTACCACAACCTCACTGCTTCCTGTCATTTCTTTTCATTCCAATACACCGTGTTTTTCTAAATAATTAAAGTTTCTTGTCTTTTCTGGCTCGTGTTAAATATTTCATTGTTCCGAGTGTCATCTTCTTGTTCTTTCTTTAATAAAACAGGGAATATGGGGTTTAAAAGATGTGTTTACCAGGCAGGAAGAGGCTTTCATACGAAGCATAGTGGGAAATTCAGGGGATCTAAAAGTCAGAATATCTTTGAATCTACTGCTTCCACTTTGACTTTTCTTCTTTTAAGCCGTTCTATACAGCACAAGCTGCATAAGTACGGATTCATCCACTAAAATGTATGTTATTGAGTGCAGATGTAAACTTTAGGAAGGTGATCTGCTCACCTGAAATACGTGGATGGTCTGCTGCTGGACCGACAGCACAGCCAGGATGTTCCTGTAGAGGTAGAGACCCTGGTTGTGCGACAGGATGATCTTGTCACACTTGAAAGACCTGGTGTCGCACAGCCTGCCGGTGTGGAGGTCGATGATGTGGAGAGAGTAGTCTTCTAGAGGAGACCGAGGGTTGGGAGTCACAGATTCGTTGTTGCGATACACCTGGTGGGAGATAAAAATGTGGATGAAAGAAGCAGCGTGAAGCCCGAGAACAATCAGCCTCTCCTTTATAAATGCCGACGTCGTTACCTCGAAGAAGTACGGCGGCGGCTCCTCGGGGACGTACACGGCCGAGCCGACGATCACATAGCGGCAGTCGTCTGTGAAGAGGCTGCACTCCCTGTTGAGATGTTCTCCGTTTGAGGCCACATTAGTCACATGGAGCAAAGAGAAGAAGCGCTCAAACAGGCGACCTCGGATGTTGAGGGAGCGCTGGTCATTGGCTGTTAGTAGAGTTTCTCCTTCTTGGCCTCTCAGCAGGTCCTGAGCCGCCTGGCAGCCTTGGTACTCGTATATCTGTAGGAGGAACATTGACACTGGAGAAGAGGGTTTCCTTCAGCTTTGTCTCTTCGCTAAATCTGGTGGCTGAATGGGCTCAGTTTGCTTTAGCTGATTTTGACAGATGGGAGGCAAAAGTCATACAATGTGGGGTGTTTGAGGTCAGGATGGATGGATTATCATGGCCGATATGTGGCATTTTTCTGATTATCAGTATCAGAATTTTTCGACCAATTATTGATAAATTAGACATGATGCTGTAGTGTTTGATGCAGCCGCTTGTCTCTGTCTGCAGAGAAGCAGAGGCTGCAAAAAACTGAACAAGAAACACAAGCTGTCGCCACAAACCAGGACATTAGCTCCTCTCATAGTGGCTAAGGCTACGCTAACGGCTAGCGGCTAAGTTAAGAGGCAGCCACAGATTAACCTGAAACTGAGTCTGGAACACAATAATTAATAATGCTTTAAGATCTGGACCTTAGTGGGTAATGAAAGTGATAGAATAGTGAACTATGAGTAAAGTAGAGAAGAACAGCAGACAGAACTGCAGGAGACGAACTGATCAATCTCAGTCGATCCCACATTAACAGAGGAGATAATTTATTCACTCCTTAACTAATTTACATATTCAGTTATAATCACCCTAATTAATGAGGAAGCCTAGTAATGAATGACAGATTCCTGCTATCACATTACATTTAATGTATATCGGCATCAGTATCAGTCCTAAAAAACAACCAACCAAAGGAAAATCACACCATTTGATCCCTAGTTTGAGGAATATGTGGAATAGTAAAATGGAGGTGTCTCTTCTCTCACCTCCAGGGAGGTCTGGTCAGAGGAGAAGGCGATGAAGCAGCGTCCGTCTGGTGAGAACTTCCTCAGAAAACAGGGCGGCTTCTCCACGTTGACCACAGTGAAGTTGGGGAAAAGGTTCTGGTGGAAGCAGCGCACTCGGTACCAGTGAGCTCCGGGCCGACCGGAGCAGATTCTTCTCCTCTCAAGACGATGGACCACGTTCTGATTCTGGATGCGTCTGGGCTTCAAGGTCGGGGTGTCCTCGTCCATGGCAGCGATTAAGGAACGGGCTCAAACCCCGTCTCTGTAGGCAGTAATAAGGCGGCGAGTGCAGACAAACGGCTACATCACAAACACGGTCCTGTTTCCTGTGTTCAAAAAGTAAGAAGGTAAAGATGAAACAGCTGTCTGACTTTGGGAGCTCAGTTAAATTTGCAGGTCCTAGTACTGAAATTATCATTTATTCAAATGACTGACCACCAATTTTCACTCAAGCTTGACCTACTCAAGAAGAAAAGTGACCATTAACTTTACATTTAATGTCTGTGCAGGATGTAAAGACAACACAGTAGATAAGACAATTAAAAATCAGAAAAACTGATCTGTTCTGGCAATTTATCACTCAGTTAAATATTCTCTTCTGCACACACGAGTAACAGTGCGTGAGACCAACTTATGACAAGAGATCATCTTTTTCTGTCAATTTTTATTATTTATTTTTCAAAATAATAAAATAAGAGACTAAAATTTGCAATAAAAGTAGTGTTTGCAAATCACTTTTGTGAAACTACTGTATGTGTTAGAGCGTATGAGTGTAAAAGTAAAACTAAAGGAGGACTGTTAGACTGATTATCAGATTCTATTTTCAACATTTTTGAGATCATTTGTAATGTTTGTTTTTATTAATCGATTCTCGCTAAGATATATTAATTTTAAAAATGTGCTTCTTTGGCTCCATTGCAGCGAACTTGGAGCTTGTTTATTCCAAATTTTGACAACAAGAATTTACCGCAAATATATTCTGGTTCCAAATATCAGTGATATTCCTCCTTGTTTACCAATAACTGGAATCGGTTCAGATGATCCCTAATTTTATGATTGATTAATCGGTTTGAGTCATTTTTTTAAGAGTTGTTTAGTCGTCAGTGGAGCTGCAGTGATTAATCTAACAATTAGTTATCAACTGTTTTGATAACTGATTAATCACTTTCAGTATTTTTTTAAAAGACAAAATTCTCTGATTTCTTCTTTGTAAATATTAATATTTTCTAGTTTTCCTCACTCATACTGCCATAGTAAACTGAATATCTTCTGATTGTGGACAAAAAAAGGACATTTAAGGATGTCGTTAAAGCCTTTGATTGATTTCCTTTAATTTTTCACAGTTTTCTAGCATTTTTTAGACCAAACAACTAATCGACTATTAGATTAAGATAATTAACAGATAAACAGACAATGAAAATAATTATCAGTGTCAACCCTACTAAAAAATAACCATGTAAGAAATATGCAGAAATACAATATCGACTATGTTTTTCTTCACATAATACTGTAATTAAATAAAACTGAGTTTCTTGGATGTTGGCCTGAGTAAGTTTATAGTGTAATTACGTGTCAAAAATACTGATTAAAGCAGTAATTTGTAAATTCAGTTTTGCTAAATGCTTTTAAAACCACACTTGCATACATTTTACACGAACTATGCAGAGATATGTGAGGAAGAGATAGCAAGAGATAGAGAAAGCAGACATTAATAGGTTTTTTGGGAGTTTTATATGGAGATAAAGGGACACAGAAACCACATCGTGTTCATATAAATCTGTCCACAGCTGGGACAGGAGCACTTCTCACTGATTTCATTTAACGTTACAGGCTAACACCACGTCTAAACTCCTGCTCTGAACAAGCACAGCTAAGCCAGCTCGACTACAAAAAGCCTTTAAGATCGCCAGATATTTGACAGAATAAGCTCATTCTCACTTGTTGCCTATTTAAAAAAAAAACAAAAAAACAATCTTTCTGGTTCCCCCAAGTTCACCAGTTTGGTGTTAGCAGGAGCCGTTAAGTTTGGCAGAAAAACTCACCGGTAACTTAAATTTAGCGAGTTAGCCGCCCGCCCCCAGCTTGTGTGGCCGCTTAGTCGTAAATATCCAGCTTCGTTTGTTTTATTAAGTCTGAAATGAACAGTAACCGGTCACATTTCTCCAAATATCCGCCTGTCTGAAGCGGCTGTGAAGCAGGAGCCGCTGTGTTTGTTGTGAGTGAGCGGAGCAGGAAGCGCAGAAGAAGAAGACGGCGGCGCTCAGAGGCTGCAGTTCTGAACAGCGCCACCGCCTCAGCTGCTGGTGAAAGGTGGTACTGCAGCCGATATCAACTCAAAACCTGGACAATAATCAATCTGCTCAAGTGACATTTTGTTAAAAAACAGGGTATTCAGCCAAGCCAAACACAACATTCCTTACATATGTAGACAACGCAACATGTCACTAGTTTAAACATCACACAACACATTTGTGTGATCCTCAGAGGCATTCTAACTTGATGACCGTCAAGCAACAATGGAAAACCAACATTTTGAGTTTAGGGCAGTAAAAAAGTTCAACACAAAAAGCGGGCTGAGGTATATGGTAATAGCCCTGCCTCCACCCTACAGTCCAGATGTGGCCCCCAGCAGAAGTTGGAAATCGCATTTGCATGGAACCAGATTTCCTGACGATGATGAGCTCAAGGCCGCCATCGGGGCGTGGTTTGAGCCACCGTGCTGCTGCTCAGTTTCAGGGTGTTGGCAATCTTCTTACAGCCTAGGCCATCTTTATGTAGAGCAACAATTCTTGTTTTTCAGATCCTCAGGGAGTTCTTTGCCATGAGGTGCCATGTTAACCTTCCAGTGACCAGTGTGAGAGCGCTAACACCAAATGAAACACACCTGCTCCCCACTCACACCTGAGACCTTGTAACACTAACGAGTCACATGACACCGGGGAGGGAAAATGGTTAATTGGGAACAATTTGGACATTTTCACTTAGGGGGTGTACTCACTTTTGTTGCCAGTGGTTTAGACATTAATGGCTGTGAGTTATTTTGAGGGGACAGTAAGTGTACTCTGTTATACAAGCTGTACACTGACTACTTTAAAAAGCTTCATTTCTTCAGTGTTGTCCCATGAAAAGATATAATAAAATATTTGCAGAAGTGTGACATACTGTATATACCTTGTTCTATGAACTTCATGACCTGCTCTCGTATATTGTTTTCCTGTTAATGCTCCTCACAGTTTTATTCAGACATTCCTACCACAGAGAAAACCACCCGACCCACACAATAGTTAGCAGTGAACACAGGAAGTTACTGTATAATACATATTAACGCATTAACAGACGGAATCTAAACTAATAGTAGCTTATTAAACTAGTTTATTCATGATTTCCTAAACACTAAAATATTTGTGGATGTGTGCTGATAATCTATCGACTACTTTACCCGTAAAAAGCATCCATCCATCCATCATTTATACTTAATCCTCACTAGGGTCGTGGGGGGCTGGAGTCTATCCCAGCTGACTCAGGGTGAAGGCAGGGGACACCCTGGACAGGTCACCAGTCTATCACAGGGCTACACTTAGAGACAGACAACCAAGCACACTCACATTCACACCTACGGACAATTTAGAATCACCAATTAACCTCAACATGTTTTTGGACTGTGTGGGAGGAAGCCGGAGAACCCGGAGAGAACCCACGCTGCACGGGGAGAACATGGAGACTCCATGTAGAAAGATCCCGGGTGTCCTTCTTGGTGCGAGGCAACGGTGCTAACCACTGCTCCACCCTGCAGCTCCTCTGTAAAAAACAACAATAAAAAAGTTAAAATGCACCTGAAGACAGACGCTATTTAACAAATGATCTGACTGCAGTTTATAAACTGCGACTCTGCGTGTCACCTGTCTGAGGTGAAGAAAAGTGGGAACTGCTGTTATCGATTCTGTCTTCACATCAGGGAAACATGAATTCTGATGCATTGCTCTTAATTTTTGTTGTTCTGCTTTAATTTCTTTCATTTATTTCTTTACTCCTCAACTTTTACCTTATTTTTTAGGATGTTTGCGTGTACAAACTGGGCCATTAAAGCTGATTCTGATTCTGATTTATTAGAGTCAGAGGAATGACTCCTACAAACAGCTGGAGCCAACAAACTAGACTTCTGCTAGTTTTAGCATTATGGCAAACCCTAAATTATATTTATTTTAGTGTTGTAGAAATGCTGGAAGAGGCTGATGTAGGATGAGGAGCCCGACACAGAGAGACACACCGGAGACTCAGATGACTTAAGGCTGAAATAAGGTTTACTGATATCAGGAGCAGTGACACTAACAGAACGCACATAATGCCAGCATCAATTCTACAGATCCATCTCACACCCTTAGCCTGATATCCTCCTTCAGTGGGAGCCTCATCCAGATTTATCAGTGAAAGGGAAACAAAGATATAAAAAATAATCCTATATTTTGGTACAAAGAAATTAATGTACAAAAATCCTGGTGACTTAACAGAGAGTCTCATCAGATATTTCACGGCTGGTACAGCAGCAATGAAGGCGACTAGGAGGAAAAAAACCATCGCTCAACAAACTGTTGTACAACATGAGCAGAGGATCCTGAAGGAGCCCTCACACATTTTATTTTCAGACTTTTACCTTCAGGTCGATGCTACAGAGTCGCAAATACACAAGCAATCATTTTAAACAGTCCTTTATTCCCGCTTTTATCGTACTGCTCAACAAACTAAAGCTCAGCCTGAACTCTTGAGGTTTCCGGACAAAGATTTTACGTACACGTTTCTGGATCCCTGCTTCTGTCATCATCTGTCCATTTACACAAAGTGCCTCTTCTACTACAGAATATACACAAGTTTGTATGAGTGTGTATTATGTAATATATTATATATATTAGGGGGTAAAATTTCACATAAAGTTGTGCATATATGGTACAGTCTGTACCTTGCTGTGTTTGTTACTACAACAAAGTGTATGTTTTATGTTATTATTGTTGAGTTTCACTGATCCGACCTGTTAAACTCTGTCTTCATCACAGTCAAGTTTGATTTTTTTGGACATTTCAGTGTTGAAGCTGCATCACAAAGTGCACGAAAAAGGTTGTTCTGTGGTTTTGGTGCACAAACTCTGTTCTCTGTGATGTTTTTGATGCTGAAATGCGGCAAAATCCTTCCACAAATCACTTCACACGACTTGAAGTGTGTTGCTTGCGGTTCAGCGTTGGTTCAGACTCTCGCTGCGTCGAAAATTACACGGAAAAGTGAGCTCATTTAGACAAGGCGACGTGTTCGGATGCTGTCGGATTAGCGGGAAGGAGCCTGCGAGGGGTTAAATAATCAAACAGATTTGAGATGCTGGCTGCTGCCTAAATAACACGCAGCAACGTCCGACGTTAGTCATGATTGAACGCACACCTAATGGGATCAAAATAATACAGGATTGTTATATTTAATACTGCATAAAACAGCGCTTATGATGCTGCACATATTAGGAGCACAAGTGTGATTTGATTCATGGAGCATTATGTAGGTGACAGAACCTCGCGGAAATAAGCAGCTGCTATAAAATGCAATCCTTAATGAGCATAGTAACCCTCAAATTAGTGAAACGTACATACGATGAATGTATGGAACGTTCCCGGTGTATAATTTTACTGACTACAACTTTTAGTGGGTAATTGCTGTGGACTGCTTTTTGAGGAAAGCCTCACCGTGGACAAATGTGGACCGAACGCACACCTGCTGATTTCCCTGAAGTGCCAATTTGCTGATCAGTAGGTGGGTTCTGCAGGTGAGGAGCGCAAGTGCTCCAGAAAACTTTGAGCATGATTATAATTGCTTTGACTAAATTGGCAGCGAAAAACAACAGACCTTTGTCCACTGTACCTACAGTGTATATAACTGTCTTGTTTGTTTAGCCTATTCCGTTTAATTGATTTGTTTATAACAGCGTGTAGCACACGTGAACCCAAGGTGACCTGCGTTTTGCTCCCCATAATGACAGATAATTAAATTATGATTATCCTCTTTGTATGAGGCATGTTCTCACGGATTGAGAATAGCATTATAAAAAGAAAAAGAAAAATGCTCGGAGTACGCCGGTCTTGGAAGACTGCTAATGGTTCTTTGTGCAATTATCTCTGACCAAAGAGTCTCGATTAAATGTTGTAATTTTCCATAAAAGCACATGTAGTGGGCATAAAAGGCCAGTTTGAAAAGAAAAATGAAGAAATGAATGGAGAGGAGAATGTGAAATTATCCACTTTAAAATCTAATGGCATTTTCCTTTTCAACCATGTCTGATTAAACCTTTGCTTCAAGATGTGTCTTTATGTAATGTTCTTGTTCAGGAGTGCACATGTGTGAGCGGTTGCCGGGGTTTCTGCGCTCAGCCTCCAACGTGTGCGTGCGCGCAGGTGTTTGTGCGCTTCGACAATAACCCACAGCGCAGGAGTAATTCAAAATAGAAACTATGTACTATCCTCTGGATGTTCTTCTGTTATTTTCCCTCTAATAAAGCGCTCGCTGCACAGGACACTCGCCTCAGCTTTTAGCATCAGCCCATGAGAGGAGACGGCGAGTCGACATCTGAGTGTTTTTATACACTTTTTAGCCTATCTGCCAGAGGAGACAGTGCTTATTTAAGATCATTTTTTTTTCCTCCTTCTGGGCTTTTTACAGCCCAAAATGCACCGTGCCTATTCTTCCCGCTCTCTTCCTCCAGGTGAAACAGCACACCGACATTTTGCTCTTTAACTGCGAGCTCTCAGCCACTACCACCGCCGCGCAAAATGGAGATGCTGGAAAACTTTAAATTGTTCTCTTTCCAGAAGTCGGAGGAAATGCAACAAAGTCTTACGTATAAAATAATAACAACAAACAAAAAAAATAAGAATTAAACAAAAGTACAGCCTGTTTTGGAACAGTAAACAACGACGCCGAACAGAGTGCAAAGTCTGCAATTGCAGTTATTATCGTCATTAAAACGAACAGAATTTTATTTTTTATTTTTTTAAAAAGAGCATTTGCATTAAAGGACATGTGGGTAAAAAGTATAGAGCGGATTCATTGGCTTGATAAAGCTCCTATATAAAAGGCACTTAGAAAAGGTTACTCAAAGCTCGAGGAGCAAATAGAAATACATTGTTTTACCGTTTCCCCCCAACGTTTTTTACTCAGACAGTTGTGTTTGGCATTTAACA